TCTTTCTTATAATTCTACCCTGGACACCTGCTGCCATCTACTGCTGTAGACAGGCTATTGGAGCAGAAGAGTCCCTGGTCTGCCCAGGGATGCTTATTTTTATGACCACATTTTTGTTCATTTTAGTGTCAGGAGGCTAACACTAAGAGAGGACACCTTCTTTGATTCTCTTACTTGATTCTGGTGTGACTTGACTGGCCCAAGAGCAAGGGTTGTATTCAACTGCCTGGTGGCAATGAACAGGGACCAGACACTCTGCATACATCTACTCTGCTAAATAAAAGTGGGAAAAGAGAGGTCCCCATCCCCAGAAAGTCTTCATTCCTCCCTGTCAAGAGCTATCATACTCATCCAAGCAATCACAGGGAGGTGACTTGCTAAAAGAAGGAAAAGAGGGCCTGGGGTGAAAGAAACCCTAGAGCATCTGAGGGGCTGAGGGAGCACAGGTTTGGTGTCATTCCACCTGTACTGCCAGTGGGACAGGCACAAGCGAAGGGTAAATGCCAATGTCCATAGTCCTTCAGGGCTGCAGGTATCACCAGCTTTGATTTGAATGGAAAATCCACCCAACAGTTGGGACAGAAATGGGCACAGCCGTGGAGAGATGCTACATCTAGGAAGATCGGCATTTTATTTAGAACCAGGACATAGAGACACACAGCAAGGAACTGCCCCACCACAGCTTAGCTTCTGTTGAGAGTGAAGGCAACATGGTTTTACTTCATGGCCAGGGTGAGGCCATGTATAGTTAATGTAGCTGATAGCTGACAAGTACTGAGTGATTCAGCTGCAGTGATGTGACCGACTGTCCGCACCTTTGCTTCTTTACTTACCTGCTCCCAAAGCATCATGACCTAAGTGAAGAAAAACCCCAACGTGCCCATGGGGAAAATTATGTTCCAATACACCAAATAATCACTGTCCTGTGGAGGCAGCTGCGAGTGTTCGGGTGAGGTAGGACAGGACATAGCTCCATTGCACAGAAGGAGGCTCTTCAAGAAGTCCCAGGCCATGGTGAGACCCCCTGCATTGTGCCTTGGCCCTTGTTCAGCTGCCACAGCCTTCTGGATTTTTTTTTTTTGGCTGCCATCATGAAGCCGTAACCCTGCAGAGAGACTTCTCTCTGCAGAGCCCCCCGACTCCTTAGCTACCAGCAACAATCCAGCCCAGGGCTTTTATTGCTCCTACACTGAAATATTAATGATGCCATCAGCCCTGCGAGCTCACTGGCATTCTTGAGTTGTCTGGATCAATAGAAGCAGAGAAGACAGAGCCATGAAAAAGAGCTGCTTTTGGAGGGTTTGGTGTTTTCCAGCGATGCCCCAGACTCCCTCTGGGAGAGCGCCAGGAAAGGTCAGACAGCCCTCCATCAGTCCCCATCGATTCCCTCCTGACTGGAGCTCATCCTAATGAATTGTCATAGAGGACCATTGTGCTAATCAACTTGCTATTAATATGGGCTTAGAAATGATTATGTCATTGATTAGAAGCAGCTTGTCAGCCAGAGATAGTAGCGACAGCTTCCAGCTGGCTGGTTCTGAGACTTGCCATTACTGTCAGTGGTGGCAGGAGATACTGTTCCCCACCATCCTCTTCTGTCCCTTCATTTGGGGACAGCACTGAAAATACCCTCTGCCCCTGTGGGTAGCAAAAGCGGTCAGCCGTCATGCAGAGCAGGATCCAGGAGCAAGGACTGGTCGTGTTTCTACACTGACCCAAGGGGAAACGAGAGGAGCCTGACCTCCAGAGCCCAATCTGTCCTCAACCTGCCAAAGCACAAGGTGTGAGCTCAAACATCAGGTTGCTCCCCCCAGCTCCTCCCAGAACACAGCATCCCACCCAGGCCAAGGATCCCTCCAGCTGCTTCACCCCCCGGCCAAGGTGTCTGTGACTCCCCTGGGTGTAGGAGAGAAGGGGCAGCTCTGGATGTGGTGCCTACGGGGACACCAGACTTTGAGGCATACAGCACAACCCCTGACACTGTGTATTACCTGGAGGATTAACCTGGGGTACATCTACAAACCCCAGCGGTAGCTGGAACCCAGGTCCCTCCAGGAGATCATCATGCGACTGAGGTCCACAGCTCCCACCCGCTCCCAGGAAACCTCCCCAGCCATCTCCATCCTTCCTCAGCAGATGCTGGAGAGCATGCCATGGACCACCCATCCCAGGATCCCACTGAGTCCTGGACTCAACTTGGTTGTGTGACACTGAGGCAGCGGAGACCACATCTCATTCACCCAACTGTGCTGCTTTTTGCTCAGGGGCTCCCAAAATCTGGAGCTGTAACACCCTTTAGTGGGACAAATCTACAGTGAAAAGGCTTAGAGATGGGTAAATTGGGAGCCCAGTAACACCAGGTTCATTTCCCTAAGCTGGTTTAGGGCTTTTCTCATTTTTCTTAAGAGTGGCTAATTAAGGGGAAAGGCACCTGTGACCCTGGAGAACTGTCCCTGATCAGAAGGAGGAATTGGCAGACGCCGATTCCTCCAAGCAGGGGCTCTTCTGCGGGGAACTTGCCAGCACAGGAAGGGGATAGAGGGACCCAGTTGTGCCAATCTGCTGAACCATGGTACAAACCGAGATGAAATGCCCCTGCAAGATGGGACAGAGTGGCGTATCTGAAAGCCTTTATGGGATGCTGAAAATCTGTAGGGAGAGTTTCAGTGACTGGTATAAAGAGGGTCATCTTCCCTGCAGCAGCGAGCGATCGCACTACCCCACTCACCTCCCACCCCCAGCTCTGGTGGAAAGGAGAATTCACCTGAGGATCATTCTTCCTCCTCTGCCCAGCTTCAAACCCCTCCCCAAACCACACAAAGCTGCTAAATGCTCCATTAAGCCTTTCACACCAAGAGAAAAGAAGGTAAATGTTCATTTTACTTTTTACAGGAGATAAAAAGGTGCTCAAAAATACCAACAGTGAGTTGAAAATTGGTGGGTGCTGCTTTAATGCATGCAGGATTGAGGCAGCTTCCAAAAAGAGCACGAAGACACGCACAGCCTCAGTCCTTAAAGGGAACCATGTTGACTAGGCTTTTATTTACTGCGGCACATCAATACCCAGCGAGGTATCTGCAGCAAGAACTCTACCCCAGCAACGTAGCAATGGCATATTGTGAGACCTGGTATGCAAAAACCCCTTTGGATGTTGGCAGTGGCTCCTGTTATTGGGTCTAATGTGGTCTGTAGTCAGGAGCTCTGCTCTGGGATGTACAAGGAGGGGTCTCCTATCAGAAAGTCTGCCAGGACCCTAGAAGTGGGTTTGGCCCATAGTGGGCCAAGCAGGGATGCATCTGCTTTTATCTCTCCTCACAAAATCCAGCATTTCTTGGGGTCTAAACAAAGACATCAATCTTTCTGGCAATGCCCATGGCATGGCTGTATGATGTGAGCTTTGGTTGTGGGCAAGACTCAAAGCTCCCACCATCTCTCCAGCCAGTAGCTGATCGTCCTGCTTTCCTTCTCCTTTCTGCCTGGCATAGCTTGTGCATATCATTTTATACACTATTGCGGGGCTGGGGAGGGCGTGGAGTCTGCATCTCTGGAGGCTTTGAAGAAGAGGTTGGACACTTTTGGGGATAGTACGCAAAAATCAGCAGGCCATGGATACAAAGTCACCTTTTCCTGGCTTTCCCATCACTGTCCTCTCCTTACACAACTCAGGAAAATCTCAGGCCATACCTTGAGGAGCGCTCACCCACAGTTGAGTGCAATCTTAGCAAAGGACCAGTTGTAATAGTACTCGACTCTTTCAAAGGACATTTCTATCTGTGGGTCTCAAGAAGTGTCACCAAAGTACCCTCCACTTTTTGGTGGAGGAAAAGGGAACATCCAAAGTTAGCAATTTATTCACAGTCATGGGACAAGCCAGGCACAAAGCACCTTCCTGCTCCTAAACTTGTGAAGGTACCATCTCCCCTCTCTGCTCCCAGGGCCACCCAGACACCGCTCCCTACCTCAGCATTTGTAGAGGGTAGGAGATGCTGCTTTTTTGGGGACAGCAGCAGCAGGTTCCTTGCTCTGCAGTTTGCAAAGTGTTCTGCAGCCTCATGGCTCCCTATAGATGCTTCAGCATATTCATGGGTGCTTTAAGGCCACAATGATGCACAAACTGTTTTTGCTGCAGGGGACTCGATGCTGGCTCAGACCTACAGCCTGCTCTGAGCTGCTGGCTCCTTTGCCCAGCTCTGCACACACATACACGCCTGCTCCAACCCTTCTCAGGACCAACAATCTCCAGGCAGCACCAGGTGAGCAACATGCTGGTCTACACCTCCCCACAGTGACCCCCAGCAAGAAATGGTGGCAGCTCTCAGGAAAAGGGTGGTCCAACCTCCCCGCACCAGTTTGTCCAGTGGGTTTGCAATCTGCAGCCTACAGCGTGTCCAAATGTACTTGAGCTTCACAGTAAGGTAATCCTCCATGGGACTGGTCTTCAGAGACACCAAGCAGTCACAGTCACAGTGGGAGTCACTGCAAGCACTCAGCATCCTTGCAAGGAGAAGCACTCCATCGCAAACAAGCCCTCCCTTTTTAACGGCTCGGATGGAAACTGGAAGCCAGAGCTCTCTCCAGGTTGTCTCTCCTGTTTCTGGTATGGCAATTTCTTACTTTTTTTTCATCAGGCTTTTGTTATGCAGTTGCCACAGTTGGAGGGCTTAGGGCAGTCTCATATTTCCAAGCCAGCAAGACCCTGCGCCAGTCAGACCCGGTGAATCCCTGCTGAATTCACAAGCATGCAGTCTTATACTCTAGGTAAATACAGCAGCAAGCTCATGCCCCCCTCCTCCCCATCACTGAGACAGAGGACAGCACGTATGGGGAACGTTTTGCAGGGCTGGGAGGCTCCAGAAGCGCCAGGCTGTCCTCCACTTTTTCATGATGCCGTCCCTCATAAAAAAAAGAACAACGTAAAAACTGAACCAAGAACTGAACTGAGAGAAAGAAAAGCGAAGACAAATGCAAGGCTGGAGCAAGAAGGGCTGAGCAAGAGGGGATCAGGCTTTAAAAACAATGGAGCCCTTCAGCTGAGCCGGCTCGAGGCCATCGGTGAAAGCGAGGAGGAAATACATCACCTTGCGGATCTGGGCTAACTCTGCTATCCGCTCCCCAAATTCCTGGGCATCTGCCTCATTGCACTCCACCTCCTTGGCCCCTGGCTTCTTCCAGAAGATGCCCACTGGCTCCAGCAGCTGCCGGTTCATTAGGTGGGTGAGATCAGGAGTCCAGTGCTGGGAGGTGCCGGTCACCGTAACTTTTCCAGGTCTCTCCAGCTGGATGTCCCAGCGGAGGAAGCGCAGGTTGTGCTGCCGGATGAAATCCACTCGGTAGACGTGCTCGTTGGGATGCAGCAGCTTCTCGCCATCCTGGGGCTTCATGTTTTTTTGCTGCAGGCTCTGGAATCGCAGCCGCATGCACCGGGTGAGCTGGTCATCGTGGACGAAGGGCAGCTCGAGCATCCCTGCCTCAGCTGCCATCGCCTCGGCTGCTCCTCTGCTAGGTCCTCAGCAACGTTTGGCTCTCAAACAGGACACGCGGGGGAAAAAGCCACCAAGCCCCCGGAGCTGGTGCCCCCTCTCCACGGTCCCAGCGGTGCTAGGCAACCCAGGCCAGTGACGCAAAACACCCTCCGGGGCTTCTTCTGGGTGCCCTCCCGCCTCGTTTGCAGATTAGGAACCGATGGTGCTGCTGTGCACGATAATCTATAGGGAAGGGATGTCTGATGTCAGCCTCCCTGGCAACCTCCCTGACAACCGCGGCTCGTTAGCCCAAAACGAAGGCGTGCAGTCAGGGATGTCACCCGCCAGGTCTGGGTGGCAGTGGCTCTCTCTGAGTATGGGGTCATGGGATAATTCAGGTTGGAGGGAGACTCTGGAGGGGTCTGGTCCAACCTGCCGCTCAAAGCAGGTCTTACTTCAAGGTTAAATCAGATTGCTCGGGGCTTTGTCCAGCCCATCTTTGAGTATCTCCATGGATGGATCCACATGCACAATGTCACATGCACCTTGCTTGGACTGCTTGGTGTTATAGAGCCAGATCACACCTAAAGCCATGTAGGGTCAGCCAAGGCTCAGGAATTTAGAAAACAGCTCTAAATTAAATTCCAGTACCCCATTCCCACTCAGTGACTCAAACAACACAGGCTTAATGGGAAGTAGGGACATGGAGAGAGCCTTGGGATGAGGTGGAAGAAAGGGTGTGAATAAAATCATCTCTTGGGATACACAGGGATGTGCTGGCCCGTCCTATTCCCTTGAAGGTATTCCTCCTCTCCACACTTAAGAGAGACAGTTTCACTGTGTGAATTGGAGCAAGGGACACACAGAGCCTGGTTACATCCTGGTGTAAATCAGGGTTACATTTTCTAGGAGCAATGGGAGACCTGGGCCAAGATCCCTGCGCTCATATTTCAGAGATACTAACACTTGCATCAACATCTTTCAGCTCCTCCTGGACCCTGAATCAGAGACATTTTGGTGTCTAATGACACTAAAACTAGGTTTTAACCTAGGTTTAAAAACCTAGTGTTTTGCTGCTTTGTCTGTCCTCTCAACTGTTGCTTGCATCAGCATATTGACCAGTCAGGACTAGAGGTTTGCCTTGCAGGCATTGGGTCCTATGTGTGAAGATGCCTGAGGGCCAAGAAGCAACAGGTACCTCCAGCAACGTTATCACCATTGCACATGCAACTGTACCAGGGACCAAGAGGTCCACTAGTTCTGGGCCAACGAAGGGCTCCGCGATCAGGCAAGGACCACGGTCTAATCCCAGCACATCCAGCAGAGCTGGTGTCTCTTTGGACCAGGGGGTTATTCTGTGCACTCGATGTTTCCCATTTTGCTTTAAAAGTTGCTGCTGCAGTTTATAGCCATGCTTACTCCCTGCAGTTCATCACGAGCTCTCAAAGCACTTTGCAAAGGGGGAGCAAAGGTCCCATCTAATGCAGAGGTCTCCAAAAGCAGGCGTGTGCTGAAGCATGCCTGACCAGAGCCCAGTAGTGAACACCACAGCAAACTGAACATCATGGGAAGGGAAGGCTTGGGGAGAGGTCTGCAGCTTGTGCTTTTGTCAGAAAACAAACCTGAAAGAAAGAGGAGGCAGGTAGAGAAGAGCCTCTGAGAGTTAAGGGCATGGAAAATGAGAAGTCATAAACACCCACAGCCAAATTGCCAAGGGAGGAAAAGCAATGACGTTGGCAAACTGAAATAATGAGGTGTCCAAAGGGACCTGGCTTCTGTTCGGTTGGCATTTCCCAGGGTAGAGCTGGAAGTGAATGGTGAGGAGGGAAGACAACTCTCCCGCTCTCCCTTGGGAGACATCGACGCAGAGGAACAAGCTAAACAACCCCTTGCAGCACGCCTGTAATGAGAGCCACAACAGCCACCACCACCACCACCATAGCCAACAACAGCTAGCCTGTTCCCACATAAAGAAAAACCTTGATTTTAGCAGAAAATGGGGATGCTGCAACAAACACAAATTCCTGAGCTTAGTGTTCATGATCACAAAACCCCCACACAGCAGAGACTGGAAGTACCACAGCACAGAGAGCAGATGTAAAGGCGTAGGGTGGAAGGACCCCTTTTGGGTCTGTTGCAGCAGGAGGCTGTGGGTGAAGCAGGTGATGCTGTCTGCACACACTGTAGGACTTTGGTGGCTGCCTTTTGCAATAAAATCTAGGAAAAGGTGCTTGCAACTTGCTGGTCGCTTGTCCTACAACGAGGCACGCCTGGTGTGCTTTCTGGCCCACGCTCCTTGGTGGCTTTCTGGCCCACAACAGAGTCCCTTTGGACCCCACGCTCGAAGGAGCACTGCTACGTGGTGCAGTCCAGCCACGGGACATGCCAGGGATGGATGTTTTGGGGAAGCAGTGGCTGGGGAGAGATACTAATACCCTCAAATCACCCTACCTGCCCCAGCGCAAGGTGTCTCATTGCCAAGGTGGGCACATGCTGAGCGGCCAAAGAGAGGTAACACCGTGGGAACTAGGGAAATGGGGCCAAACACTGCAGCTGAACATCCTCAGTTTTTCTGTTCTTCTTGTTGCTTTTTAGGTTATTTTGGAGTGGGGAGGGTCAGATTTAGGACCTGGAGGACAGGATGGGACTTGATCTGCTTGGTTAAGGAAAACTGGCCAAGGGTTTGGCTTGAGTGTGATGGGACTGCAGTCATGACGACTAATTCCCCTTGAAAGATTGTCTTTTAAGGGAGGTTTCTGCACATGAACAGTTTTTCAGGACCTGAGGCACCCCTGAAGAACCAGTTTTTGAGCCAGTCAAACACAATGCGAAGCCAAGGCCTTGAAGACAGGCTTTCCCCTGGCACGGGAACTGCTTACCTTCTGCCACAGAGACTCCCGGGACGCCAAGGAGGAGCAGGCAGCCACGAACCAGCAGTTCCCAACCTGGCCCTGGTGTAAGTCATGGGAGCTGATCCCGTCCACAAAGAGATGTGGATCATCGCAGATTTCCTGTGGGATGGGAGAAAAACAGACACACTGGGTAAGTGAGGACATAGGGAAATCAGGAGCAAGGCCTCTCAGCAAAGGAAAATCTCTTCCTCTCTTTCTCAGGCTCCATTTAAATCCCACCTGCAGCTTTCTGCTGGCCTCATTTATCACACTGGTGGCAGGAGGACCTTGTCCTGCCTTCTGCTCTCACCAGGACATGGGCAGCATCACTGCCGAAGTGACGCCAGACCTACTCCCTATTCTGTTCCAGCATCAGCACAGATTTGCTATAATTATCCCTGGTGATAATGATACATACTCACACCATTACAGCCCTAGTGACCCATCCCCTCTTCTAAGTTCACTCTTTGTTATTTCTCATAAGCCCTTCAGCTCTCTCTACTCTGTGAATGCTTTACCAGCTTCTCCCTCTCTTATTTTGCTCTGGAGAGCATGAGAGCATCACCCAAACCTGCTGTTTCCCATACTGGAACTTGTGGATCCATCCAAAAATAAAACCCTGCAGGAGCAGGGCAGAGCCAGGCATTTAGATGAGGAATCGCAGTGCCTAAATCGGACAGTTCACCCAGGAAAGCTCAACGCAGATTGAGGGCTCAGCCATGGTTGCAAGAAGCCAAGTGTCCTCTTCCAGATCTTGGAAAAAATTCAGTGAGCCAAAACTTTGCAGTTGGGCTAGGAGACCTATACTCACACGAAAGCCAGCATGGTGGATTCTGCGTGAGCACCGTGAATGGAGAAATTTGGGCAGGAGGAGCTGGGAGGTAAGCTCATCCCTCCAACCTCTCAGGCATCAACCATGTCGCCTTTCCTCTGCCCGGCTCCTGCCAGACTCCCTTCATCCCACTCCCACTCGGAACCCGGCCAAGAAAGCACTTAAATAACAGAGGGTGTTGAGCAAGCTTTGTGTGAAACACCGCTTTTTTTTTTTTTTTTTTGATTTTTTCTCCTGATCAATCCAGTTTGGAAGGTCATGTCCAGCTGGAGGCTGGGAGCAGATGGGACAGACAAAGAGCTGAAAGAATCTCTTCCCCTTTGTTATTGCTTTTAAATTGAAGGGGGGAAAGGAAAAGCAGATTTTCCTTCTTCCCCCACACCTCCCAGTTTTTCACACTGGCTGCACCTAGAATAACGTTTCCCACAAACTTTGCACATGAGGACTTTCATTGCCTCTGCCCATCACGGGGAGGAAAAGGAATCGCTGCTTTGTAAGCACCTCCTGCTATTCCCACCTAACCCAGCCAGCACTGTACACCTAAAATATAACCTGAGCTCCACCCAGACACAAACTGGGCAGGGATCAAACCCAAGGGAGAGGACTAATCCCCTGCCAGCTGCTGGTGTTGCAGGAGGTTGGGATAAGCGCTAGAGGGAGGCAAGCTGACAGCCACCAAAGGCAAGAGCCAACTGCTCTTCCCAGCATCTCTGAGTGCAGACAGGGACGGGAGAGGAGCAGTGGGGTTTATCTCCGTTTATCTCCAGTTTCATACCACGCGTCTCCAAAAAGCAAACGCCACATCACCCTCCCGGCACCACGACTCCAAGAGAAGAGGGCAGCACACAAACGCGCACACCCACATGCATCCTGGGAGCCTTTTGGGTTCAGGCATCAGCCATCACAGAACCAGCTCAAACTGCCCCGTGGCACCGGCGGCTTCAGCAAACAGTGAGTCCATCCCATCCTTCATCTCATCCCAGCCAAATCCTGGGTCACGGCTGCTCCTAGTCTGGACACAGATGGCGAACAGCAAGGAATAGGTGGGGAAAGCCACAAGCTATGGCTGCAGGGAAGCTATGGCTTCCATGTGTTGCTTTTAACTCGACCTTGGCCAAGAGAGCCATCCATGCCTCTTCACCTCCGAGGAGAACCTGTCTTGGAGGATCCCGAGGATCCTAACCACCATCAGAGATGATTTGCGCTCCCTAAAAGTGCCTGCTGAAATGGCCACTGAGCTCCAGGCAACAAAATAAAACTTAGAGAAAGCCTGTGTGGATGGTCCTATGGAAAGATATAGCCTGATAACACAGGGAGTGCCAAACTAGTGATTCAAAATTCTGGTAA